AAAAAAAAAACGAAAACGAAGTGATCAGCTACTCACCTTCTTCCGGAGCATTATCATGATGACAGGGATGAATTGTCCGAAGAAGTTATAGATAACAAAAAGAGTTGCCAAAAACCATCCACATGACCATGACTCCTATTTCCACACAAATTATATGTTGCATTGCGTTACTAAAGGATAGTACCTGCATAAACTGACGTTGATCTTCCCATTGGAACCACATTCGTATTCCGTCTTCTAGAAAAGTAGAAACAAGACAAAGTCGTGCAACATGGGGTAAAATATGCCTGGTACGGCGTAACACCTGTAATCAACATTTACAGGGAAATAAAAGACTTAAAGATGGAAAACTTGCAGACTGCTGCTTTGTAAGAAAAAAGAATGTCACGATACTCACATCATCTGCTATATCCTCCGCTGCGGAAACCAATTCCCGTTGCGGGCCTCCCGTACGGAATTGATCCATCACCTGAAGCGGATTTGATAAATGATAAGTTATGTCGTTATAAAATTTATCATTGCCATCAAAAGAAAGAGAAAAAATGTCATATTTGCTGGAAATTTCCCCACGATATAAAAAGACAAATGACAGACGATATCCTAGAGGTTGTAATGGGTAAAATTTAGACTCCAACAGAGCGCAGGGGGGTTTAAAAGAATGTAAATGTTTAGTTGAAGCAGATGGAATTTAGTTATGAGAAGTAAGCTTTCCTACGCAAACATCAAGTCAGGGTTTTGTAGAGCAATACTAGTTTCAGTTGTTTTTATTGAAAACAGTTTACGAACACTTCAAGAGGTTTGGAAACAGACTGGAGGAATTATTTCGAACCGGAAGGCAACGAAATGCGCCGTTATCTCTCGCTATTAGATCGATAAACGTACAATCGCCAACGGATTTAGGTGGTAGCAGCGATATCTATGTGTGAGGACATTACACGATGATCCGACATTGCAACGGAACAAGGACCGCGACGCGTTCCGCTCGCGAGGTGATGTGTAAGAAATGATTTCGAATGGTTCGCACTTCGTCGAGTGAAGCTGTACCCAATTTGCTTGGCATCGTCTATTCGAGCAATAACAACTGATGTTCATAAACGGACG